CAATTATTAAAAATTGAATGTTTTTTAGATCATTCAAATCGGATGCTCCCTTCATTCAAAAACTCGATTTCTATTTTATGCACTCTTTGCTCCGTATCTCCGTAACGGCTGGACTTGCCTTTGCCAACAACTAATCAGCACATCTCCCTATCAATAGGAATCGAATGTTTTTTGAGCCTTTCAAATCGGTTGATCCGTGCGCCCCAAAACGTGGACGAAAAATTGTATCCACACATACATACACACACACATCCATTTTTTCTGAGGTATGCCAAAATGTTCAGAAACCTTCAAAACGTCGAGAGATGTAAAAATGTTCAATTTCGATTTTTGGCCCATTACAATAACTTACCCTACGGGAAGTTAACTAGTGGTGTATATGGCAACGTGTTTTTAAGGCAAATTGCTAAAATTTCCCCTACTAATGATCAATTTTTTTTTTAAACTTTGGAAACATTTAATTTTTAAGTTTTAAAATGTTTGATAAAAATTGACTTTCTTGAAAAAGATGAATGAAAATAGAGACAAATATGAAGCGCGTAAGTGCGGCGTCGCGATCTAACGGGCAAAAAATGTTACGAAAGCCATAGAAATTTTAACAAAATTTATACCCATTATTAAAATCTCTATAAATGATTAATTTTTAGCGCCGCATACACACACATTATCTCTAAGGTATGCCAAAATGTTCAGAAACAACTGAAACGTAAATATATATAAAAAAAATTATTTTCGATTTTTTGCGATTACTGAAATTTACCTTACGAAAAGTTAATAATTGTTTTAAATAATTTGAAATAGATTATTTATTTTTAATACATACTGTAAATTTATAAGTGCTTATTAAGTTGGGCGATGAGCCTATTTTACAAACAACTTATGTGTATGTTTACAAGAATTTTGTTCATTTTCTTAATTTTTTTTAGATAATCTTGAAAATTTTTCAAGTTTTGGAAAAAAAATTAAAAGTTCTAAATATTTCTAAGAAATCGATTTTTTTAAATTTTTGATAATTTTTAAATTTTGAAGTTTTTTTTAAAAATGATCAAAAATTTCGAAACTTTGTGTTTTTGAAAATTTTGATTTTTTTTTTTAACTTTCAAAACAACGATTTTTTTGTGAAACCATTTTTTGCACACCGTCTAAAAACAAAAGGTTTTTTGATTTAATCTCATCGGATGATTTGTTCTCTCAAAAACTGCATGACCATTTTTACACACCCTTTGCGCTCTATACCTCCGGAACGGCAAAATGAGGCTTTTGCAAGAACGCCTCGCGATCGAGTACAGAATGTTTTTTCAATAATACAAATCGGTTATTTCATACTGTCGAAAATGTCGATGACATTTGTTTGAGCCATATAAATAAAATTCAAATTAAAAATCTTGGTACGGAACCCCAAAAAATGACACAAAATGGGTACACATTATTCAAATTTCTGTAAAATATCTGATAATTTGATGTGCATATGTCTAATAATTATTTTTGACTGCCAAATGGCATTTCTTTAATTTTTTTTTTATTGAGAGTCCATAACCGCTGAACCTGCCTTTTCAAAAATACGAGCAGTTCTTCGTTTAATCGATATATGTAAAATGTTTTTTGAATTACTCAAATCGAACGTTTGGTTCTCTCAAAAACTGAATTACATTTTTTTTGCTCCGTATCTTCGATACGTCTAGATCTGCCTATGCCAAAATCTAATCATCACGTCTTCTTATCACTACGAATCGAATGTTTTTCAAATTATTCAAATCGGTTGATCCGTGTTCTCAAAATCGTCGATAATTTGTATCCGTACACACCCATATAATCAATTTTTCTAATTATAAGGTATGCTAAAATGTTCAGAAGGTTTTGAAACGTAATGATATATAAACATTTTCATTTTCGATTTTTTTGCGATTACTATAACTTACTACGGGAAGTTAAAAAAAATGCTGACACACATATCGTGTCGAAACGTATGAATAAAAAGTTTATTATTTATTGTTGCACCAATTACTATATAATTTTCAAATCACGAATTTTAAAAACTTTTAAATTAAAATAAATATTAAATTAAAATAAAATAAATAAAAAGGTTTTAAAAAATCAACACTTCTCATCGAGACATGTTATATAAATAATAATAATAATAATAATAATATGTCTGGAAAAAAATTAGCTATATTTTCCATATCCTTACTTCGTAATTTTTCCGCCGGCCAAAGCGCCACTAAAACTTTTCTATCACGGTCTTTCAACCAATAACAAAACAGCTCTTCGAGTTTCCTTATCTTCACATAGAAACACAATTCACTAGTAAATTTTTTTTAAGCATATAACATGTCTCGATGGGAAGAGTTCCTGTTTTAAAACCTCTTCATTCATTTTATTTTAATTTCATATTTATTTTAATTTAATAGTTTTTGAAATCAGTGATTAGAAAATTGTATAGTAATTGGTACATTATATTTTCCGTGTTTTTTGTTGATTTTTCATGTTATTTGTATGGTGAGTTATTGCATATTATTCTATAATTTTAGTTGTATCTTACCTTTATATACAACATATTTTAGTCTTATAATAAAAAAAGCATATTGTTTTGATTTATCATATATATCAATAAATAGTTTCAATTAATTGATGGACGCCGAAGAACAACTATATATTCACACACACACACACACACACACACACACACACACACATATATTGGCTATGTGCGAAGGCATGGAAGGGGAAGTCAAATCGACCGAAGCGCTCGTAGTGGCTAACTTGGAGCACTACAAGGGGCTGTTATAAACAAAATTTTAAACAAAAACTCATAAAATATTTATTTATTTCAAATTTAAAAAAGATAATTGAAAATGAGCCACCATAGTTGTTGTGTAGTGGGCTGTAGAAATACCAGCAGAAAAAGTGACTGTAAATTCTATACATTTTCTACAGCTAAGTGGAAAGAAAATCAACGGGAAAAGTGGATCGCAGCGGTTAGAAGAATAAAGTAAGTATCATAACCTTATTGTTATAAAAATACAATTTGGAGTATTATGAATAGTTGTAAAATTGTTATGTTTAGAAAAAGAAAAATTATAAGTCATAAATTGTTGTATTATCAAAATTTAATGCTTACTATAAAAATTGTTTTGTAAAACAATGTAATTAATACAAGCCTGAAATAATGAAAAATACATATTTATATATTGTATATTGATTATGTATAACTATTATCTATATATTAATTACATTTTATTATATAATAATTGTAATTTTATGATTAAAAGAAAAATAAAAGTTATCACATAGCGTAAAAATGTTTATTTTGCAAACAGTTTAATAAATACAATGCTAAAATAATGCAAAATATATATTTGTAGTGTTGATGGATCACCGTGGGTTCCCAAGCCCTATGATCGCATTTGCAGTGAATCGGTCGAGGTATTGAGTCCTACCTACTTGTCACCTTGGTCTTGTCTTTATAATAATGTCTAAATTATGTCTTTATAATAGTGTCTAAGTCTTTAGTTTGACCAAAAAAATGAGTAAATTAATTTATTATTTACTTATTCTATTGATAAAACACTATTTATCATTATTATATTGTTTTTATTAAGAACTATTCCGAGATTATGACATAAGCTTTGAGGCACTTAACCTTAAAATTATTTACTGCATTTCTTTATTTAATTAATCATTATACTTAACTATGTTTTAAGTACGTTGAAGTAAATTTAATAATTTCAATAAACATTCAGCGTTCACATTATTACTGTAACTTGTTTATTATTATTTATAACAATTATTTAATATCTTTTTTCTTTAACAAACATGTAAAACCCATGAAAACCACACACTGATACCCCCAATTAGTTCATATTTATTACGGCGCTGCATGGGCGCTGCAGTCACGCTCGGAGCGAATATATATATATATATATATATATATATATATATATATTTCTGTTAATATTTTAAATATAGTTCTTCAATTCAAAATAACATAGAAAAAATCTCAAAAAAATTAGCTTTAAATAACTGCCAAAAAATTGATTTAAAAATTAAAACTGTCAGCCGTATCAATTAAGCCTACACGTACCAACACAACGCTTCTAAAAACGTAAATCAGATACAAACAACTTTTGAAAATTTTAAACTTGATATTTTTATTTCCAAAAATAAAAGAATATATGCTACTGATATTTTTTCTATTAAAGAATTACAATAAAAATCTGATTCACAAAAAAAATATAATAAGAGTTCAACTAGATTCATATTTATAACATTGTTGTTCAACATGTATAGAAATTTAAAAATTGATTCTATTTATAATGAATCAGTCATATTTTTCGCTTTTTTATTGTATAATTTTTGGACTCGTGCCGTTTATGTTCATATTCACAATTTTGTATTTTGATTAACGTTGAGTTCCAGACATTTTCAATTATGGTGAAACAGAACCATAATCTTCTTTTATCTATGAACAGAACCTTTATTGGAATACCAACAACTTAATAAGAATAATGTTAAATCAACAATTATTTTATTAATATTTAACAAAAATAGATAAATTTATAATACCGGGACTGAATAGAATAAAATTGCAAAAATCATAGCAATGCTAATCAAGATATTTTTTATTATTTTTGTCGAAGCTTTCAAAAACAAGATGGATACTGATATGAATATATCAACAATTTACATTGCAAATCGCATGTAAGAAGCTTTTATCGTTTATAATATAAACATTGATCAGTTTACGACAATGAAATAGGAATCTTGCATATTAATCAGTGAGTTTATTTATAATATTATTAGTGTCATATTGCAGTTTAGACATTAAATTCTAAAGCCGTATTTTTCATAGTTCTTGTGCAAATAATATGCGAGGCAGGTCGAATATATTTTTATAGGTTAGAATTTTGACAATTGTGTATAATTGTAAGTAGTAGCATCTAAATTCAACTTCTGATAATATTACTGTCGTGTCCTTTATGAATATCACGAGAAAAAAGAACATGGAGAAAGATAATGCTAAAGAATGTTTTTTGTGTCAGGAAGTGTTAGGAGTAGATGATTTGGCATTTTTTCCTTGCACATGTGACTACCAGGTATGCCGATTTTGTTGGCACAGTCTTAAAACAAATGGTGACGGATTATGTCCACAATGTTGGAAACCTTATCTTAAAAATCCAGAAAATTTTACCTTTTTATCACAAGATGAAATAACTGCCTTAAGAGCGAAAAGAAATCAAGACCAACATCGTCTTGAAAATCAAAAATATCTGGCTAATCTTCGAGTACTACAGAAAAACTTGGTTTTTGCTACTTGTCTTCCGAACAGTTTAGCAGATTCAGATATATTAAAGAGATATGAGTGTTTTGGCCAATATGGGCAAATTTTAAAGATTACTATCAATAAGAATGCTTTATATTTAGGGCAAAGAGAGCATATGCCCAGTGCATACATTACTTATTATCACAGTAATGATGCAATGCGAGCAATTCTAGCTCTAAATAATACACGAGTTTATGGAAGATGCATTAAGCCGCGTATGGGTACTACTAAGTACTGTACCCAATTTGTGAAGAATTTACCATGCCTTAGAAGAAACTGCATTTACCTTCATGATTTTGACCCCGAAGCAAGTTTTACGAAAGAGGAAATTATTGTTGGGGAACATCATAAATATGAAAAACGACTGCTTGATAAATTCTGTCAGAAAATTAATGAAAAATCTGCACTTGCAAAAATGCATAATAAAGTTCTGCCTTTAGTCAATTCATCAGGAATACAGGCCCAATATACATCAAATCAAATTGAGCATTTCTACTTTTTGGACGGAACACCCGCAAAATTACTAGATTATCAACCTTTGCAGCAAAATGTAGATTATTTATATAAAAACAATGGTATTCAGTCTAATATTGAAGGACAAGGACTACTAGATGACAAATTATATGAGTCAACTAAAATTTCAAATTCCACACCTTACGCAATATCGGATGATGATCTTGATTTTGATCCCATCGAAGAGGTTCAGAAAGCATTTGCATCAATAGATAGTGAAACAAATTTTGAACAAAATTCTAATAGAGAATACAAGAATTATGAAGATAATTCTAATCAGAAGATTCCTTTGCTATCAAGTACCATTTCAAATAAGAATACATTCGACATTGAAATACCACCGGAACAGAAAAGAAGCATCCAATCTCGACCTGATTTTAATATAAACTACGCGTCAAATACAAAACAGGAAATTCCAGTTTCTGTACCACAACAGCAACAAACCGGTGAAAATATAGGTATGGTTTATGATAGGGCAAAATGGGACTTAGCCTTGATGAGAATTTCTGAAATCCTTGACCAAACTTCAATTGGTGTACATGATACAAACTATCTTAGACAAAGATCAGTGTCGGATAATAGCAATATAAGCCAAAACGCTATGAACGACAATTATGGTTCATGCCCAACAAATGCGCATTTGGAACATTTTTGTAATGATCAAATTTATAGTCATAATGCTCTAGTAGGTATACCTCAGCATGCAAATATGATCCCATTCACAGATGTGTACAATAATGTTCATCGTTCTATGAATATGCCTATGCCTATACAAAATCTGTGGCAAAATGCAGTGCAAGAATCGCATGAACAATCTTCAATCCAGAATAAACCATATGTCAATGATAGTACACCTGTAGAAATCAATGACAATAAAGAAGATTAAAAATTTGATGTGATGGATGGGCGCAGTTTCAATTGGCTGTTCATATTCAATGTATTCAGTGATCAGTATTTTTCTAGCACTTACTGATTAATATTAAATTTATCTGATTTATATTATTCAATATATCTATGTGAACTCAAGTGTAATGTATGAATAATAAAATGTATTTATTAAACATTGTTTATTCTACTATATTGGCGTATTTTCTGTATTTTATTTAGACTTATTATTAGAGCAATGATTTTAACATCTACTATCGTACGGTACGCATCGTAATTTAATATTGTATATTAATTTATATTTAAAAGCAATTTCCCCGTGTCGTTTAATTTACCTGTTTTTATTTCGAAAAAAAATCTTTTCAATTACATAGTCGCCGTCGGAGGGGACAAAGAACCGATCATTTCTATTGTCCAAACGATTAATATATTGAACAATATGGGAATTTCAGACTCGAGCGAATTAACAACTGTTGCAAGCGGATCAGGTTTAATTTCAGAAACTATTCAAAATAGTTTTTAGTCCTTAAAAAACTTCTGTTCCAACATATCTGAACTAACACAAGTATAATTCTAGGCCATCAGTTCGGTTTTTACAGCCCTCTATACTTAGTTTTTACAGCCCTCTATACTTAGTTTTTACAGCACTCTACAATCCAACATTGCCACATAATCGTAGTGAATCATTCTATTCGGTTAAATAAATTCTCTCAAAATCGTGGACAAAAAATTGCATCCGTATTTACGTACACACACACATACATCCAATTTTAACTTCCCGTAGGGTAAGTTCTAGTAATCGCATCCGATTTGAATAATTCAAAAAACATTTTATTTATTAAACGAAGAACTGTTCAAATTTTTGGAAAGGCAGGTCCAGAGGTTTATTGGACATATGCATAGCAAATTATTAGATATTTTATAGAGATTTGAATAATGTGTACACATTTTGTGTAAAATTGTTGGGTTTTGTACCAAAAGTTTTAATTTTAATATTCAAGTATATGGTTCAAAGATTGTGCTCAGCAGTTTTGACAGTATGAAATAACTGATTTGAATTTAGAAAACATTCAATTCGTATTGATAAGGAAACGTGCTGATTAGTTTTTAGGAAGAGGCAGGTCTAGCCGTTTTGAAGATATGGGGCAAAAAGAGCCACAAATGGTAGGACAAATTCCCGTAACGCCGGACGCCACCTAGCGCCTATACCCCCATTTTTTGTAATTTCTAGTCAAAGAATAAAAAGTTTATGGTGAATGCTACAACCGAGAGCGTCGGTGTGGCCCAGCCAAAAGTGTAGATGAATAGTAACTTTTTTGCAATATCTAAGAATATTCGTCAAACACACATGTGCAGACATTCCAGAGTGTGGAGATGGCTACATATGTGATCAATGCTAATAATTTATATTACTACGATTTGTAATAATACAAACATGTTTATACAGGTTAAAGTAAAAACGAATAAAAATTCTAATTATTTTTCATAATTTAGTCTATAATAAATCCTGCATATGTTTCGAGGTTTTGACTTGTTTTTTGTGGATAAGCACACAAATAATGTATAAAAATACAAAAAACACAAAAAATGAACAGAAGAATTGTATAGTTGTATAAAATTTTATATAAAATATAGTTATGTTTTTATTTTGAAAAGTTAAACTAAAATTAAACAAAAACAAAAAACGTATTCAGTTACCAATCCAATTCATATAACTCATTTTTAGTTTTTTCTTTTATGTTAATTATAGATGGATGTCTAAACTTACTAACGTAAACTTTTTGTTTAACTTATGGTAAGTATGGTAATTATTCAGAAAAATATTTTGTTTTTGGAAAAAAAATAGTATTAATGTTACCATTCGATAACTCATACACTTTTTGACATACCTACTACTGTTATATAATTTTTTTTTTTTTTTTTTTTTTTTTTTTTTTTTTTTATATGAAACTATTATTTTTCAAATTGTCGTATTCTAGGCATTACTTCTCGATTTTAATTAAATCGCCTAAATAAAAACATTTATTTCAGAATACAAAATTTTATTGATTTACTGTTCTGTTTAATTGTCACTTTATTACAAATCTGAACAACGTAAATGGTGGATCTGACATTAAACACGCTATAAAATTCTAAAAGTTTTTTATATTCAGTCGGAAATGTATATTTATTTTAATTTTAATTTTTGTAGTGTTGTTAAGTGAGTTTTGTTATCGAAAAAAAAAAAATTGTTCCAGCAAAATGAAAATTATAAAAACTTTTAGTATATGCTTATGAAAAAGGTAAAAATTTAGAACACATTGTATAAGCTTTAGTTTTTGTGAATTGGGAATTTATATTTAGGTTTTTTTAGATAAGATAATTTATGGTTAATATGTGCTTTGTCTCTGAAGCAATTATGGTTTGTTTGATAATGAAATATTGGTGCTTCTAGTATATAATACCACGAATTAGTAGATAATTCTCTAATACAAAATCAATTTAGATATTCGTATAAAATCTAGTTTATAGTGTGATTTGTTCAATTTTAAGGTTTAAGCTTTGCATGCAGTACCTTAATAATATACTCAGGATGAGCTGTAATATTATTATTTCACGTAGTTATTTTCAACTACTTTACAATATTAATGATTTTATGTAATGGTATTGCAAAAATACACTAGAAAAAAAATGTATGTGGTTTCGGTGTTAAATAAACCAAAAAATTCAAAAAGTTTTAAATGAAACAAAATGTGTTCAAATATATTTATATATTATTTGCTAGAAATACCTGCAAGAAAAAAATGGTAAAACTAAATGCAAAAAATCGTATTATATTTACCGATTTCCTAACACATCACTCAATAAGTCCTTAGGATTATTTATATGTGGATATTGAAATTTTGAACAACTTTTCCTACAACAATTGTTGTATTTATTGTATCGTTCAATTAAATGAAATTTCACTAGCTATGATATTCTGCTTGCAATGATAAGAAATTTTAAAAAGGAATTGCAATTACATAAATTTTAGGCGATAGTTTTTCTTTATCAATTTCATCTAATGCCATCTCATTTGTGATTGTATCTATTCATTTTCAACACTACAAAATGCAGAACTTCTTCAACGATTTATGAATCATCACCAGCAACCTCAAAATCAGCTGTACTCCTAGTTGTATAGGATACAAAGCTTTTGCGATAACATTTCTGGAAAACAATCAGTTTCCACACATCCAGCAGGGGCCTTTTCAATATGCTGAAATTCATTCTCTGGAGTTTTATGTAGAAGCGCTTACCTATCGTTCTATGAGATACAGTACTATCTAATGTAGATATTTATTTGCCAATTTCCTATGATACTACGGCATTTGTAACTGTATCAATTTTCTACCATATTATTTTACCAAAGACATATGTGTCTACAACAAGTACAGAACCTTGCTGTAGTTTTCTCTTCTAATATTAACTCATTTGGAACTGCATCTGTTCATTTTCTACAAGTAAAATGCAGAAATGCTCTAAAGATTTATGGAACTCCACTATCAACATCGGAATTAGCAGTACACCTCTAGAAGAAGAGTTGATGTTACGTGCTCTCTAATTCCGTATAGAAGTGCTTACTTCTGGCACAACATTCAAAACTTTTGAGACAACATTTAAAATTTTACATACAACTTGTAGAGCGGTTTCAATAACTTACTTAAAACAATCAGTGAAAAACACATTTAGCAGAAGTCCTTTCAATCTGCTAAAATTATATTCTCTAAAATTTTAAGCAGAAGCGCCTATGGTTCTTTGAAATACAGTACTAAACAATGTAGATCTTTATTTGCCGATTCTCTATGATACTACCTCATTTGCAACTGTATCCATTTTCTATCACAGAATTTTTCCAAAGACATGTGTGTCTATAACAAGTACAGAAACTTGCGCTTGTTCAAGCAGAAAATCATCAAAACAAACAACACTTTGCGAATAGAGTTCCCGTACGTGTTGCAAGTAACGATAAGTAAATTTGAATCGCGGAAATGACCATCAAAGTTTTATTTGAACACAGTTTTATTGTAAGCAGTAAGATAGCTTTATAGAGCATGACTTCGCCTTTTGCTTTGGGTTGTTTGTACAGAAACAATTGCATGATGACGAACTAAAACGCTAAACCCTTTTTATAGGATTGTGAAATCGAGAATGAGGACACAAGCTTACGTGATTCTGTATCATCGATATAGATATATTATATTTATAGGTTACTTTAGAGACGATTTCATATATTTCATTCATTCAATTTTAATTAAAAAATATTGGCTGCTCTTTAAAATATTGTAAAAATTGGATGATGGACGTCCAATGTTGTTTAGGACGTGCAATTTTTCCATACTTTTTTTTACATATAACTCTTCTATACTATTTATAAAAAGTAACCCTTATTGCTTCAACGTCAATTATGTAATCATAAAATCCAGTATGTTGTATGGTACTGTACTAGTAATAAAGCTATTTCTGTCTCTAGTAAAGTATCTTAGTTTTATCGTAGCTTTTTTGTCTTTGGTACCTCTTTTTTTAGAAAAAAATGTTTTGAATATCTACAAAGTGATGCAAACAAAGGATAGTATTGTTCGTAGTTATCATGAAAAAATTTAGAAAACAAATTCAATGAGCTTTCAAGTGCAGCCAAGACTTTTGGAGAAACTGTGAAATATGTCGGTTCATTCAGCTTTGTAACCGAAAATAAATTTTTTAATTCTTTCCACTCGCAAATTGCAGAATTATTATATATTGGCGGCCATAGTGGCGGCATCCGAGTGAAACGGGTCAAGATTACAGCTCAAAATAATAACACAACTGCACCATTTTTCTAATTAGCCTACTTTAAATGGCCCTTTTTTAATATATGTACTAATTGGCGAGTTCCATCAAAAGTTGACACATTTAATCCGGATTGTGCAATATATATTCTGCAAAAACATAGCAAATTACTAAATAAAAAATGCTAAATTATTATTGTACTAGTTTTTGCTT